GGCGCGGAGCGGCGGGGCGGGCGCGGAGCGGCGGGGCGGGGCCGGGGGCGGGGCCCCAGCGCGCTCGCCCGACCCGTCCGGCCACATTTTCTCCCCAGAGCGCAGACCCGGCCCAGGTGTCGCGCCGTCTCCTGCCCGCGGCGCAGCGCCCGCCCAGGGTGCCTCGCGGGGCGGGAGGGAGCCCTGGACGCCCGGGCTCTCTCTCCTGCCTGCGGTGTCAGGGTCCACCGGCCTCTTCAGCCTCACGGTTCTCAGCGGCCCACCGCCAACCCGCCTGCCCCCCAGGAGGCTTCCCTCCCCATCACTGGAACCCTCAGCCCCTGTCATTCATTATTTGAGTGCCTACCCTGTGTCCCTCCCAGCAGCCAACACAGTCTACTGGCGCTGTCTGTCCTCATGACGTTTGCAATCCGGTCGGGATACCTAGAGGTGACAGGTGCCCGTGTTTTGGTAGAAAAGGAGATACCAACGGGAGCACGCAACAGGGACTCCGAGGGGGGGCGATGACTAAGCTAACACCTGAAATAGAAGCGGGAGCAAGCCAGGCGTAGAGTGTTGATCACAACTGCTCATATTTATTCAGTGATTACTGCGGGTCCAGCTGCCAAGCACTTTGCATGCATTATCTCATTTAATCCTCGCAACCACCCTTTGAGGCAGGCACTATTATTATCCTGTATCCCCATTTTGCAGATGAGGACACTGACCCACCCAGAGATTGAGTAACCCAGCAGAGCCCCATCAGCTGGCAGGGGCACAGCTAGGCTGGACCCCACAGTCTGACCCCAGTGCCGTCCTTGTCCGCTCTGCTGCACCCCTCCCCCAGCAGAGGGAGGGGCAAGTTACAGACCAAAAGAACTGGCATGTGCAAAGACGGGCGGGAGGCAAGAGAAGGTGTGGCATATTTTTTAGGTACTAAAACTATCATAATGTGAGGGGGCACTGGTAGGGGCAAATAGAGAAGCAGCAGAAGGATGCTAAGCCAGATCGTGAAGAGCCTGGTGTACTTAGCTAAAAGGTTTGGCCTTTATCCTAAAGATAAAGTGTCTCTCAGCAGGAAAAGACAATCTCTCTCTACTCACTCTTCAAAGCCCAGGTCCAACACTGCTCTCCATCAAGTTGTCCAGGACCCTCTTGCCCTGAACACTCACACTCATGAACCTCGCAGCTCTTTGGGATCTTGTCTTCTGTTAGAGTCATCTGTGTGCATGTGCGTGTGCATGCGCGCGCACGTGTGTCCCCTTCCCTAGTGGTGAGCTTCTGGAGGGCGAGGGCTTTGCCTTGCCTTGCCCTTCTCTGAATCCCCAGTGTAGCACCAACATGAAAGATGCTCAAAAACTATTGCTGCACAGAATTACGAATGTTCCTGTGGGACTCAGTCATTCTGTAGATGAGGAAACTGAGCCCAGAGTTTCTAAGTGACTGTCCCAAAGTCACCTCGCCTGTTGTCATCACCACCACCACTGTGCCTGCATTCTACGTGCTTTGTATGCATTTTCTCAACCAATTCTCACCATGACCCCCCAAAATGGATACTGTTATTGTCCCTATTTTGCAAATGAGGTGCAGGGACATTAGGTTAATTGGTGAATAGACTGGAACTAGACCTGTAGTATTCTAACACCAGGTCCACTGCCTTTGTACCGCCCTCCCATCCCTCCACCCCCCACGAGAGGTCTCTCTGTACCCCACTTCCAGGTAGCCCACTCTTCTTCAGAGAGTTTTGTAAAACTAAAAGCTGGGTCTGCCTTTCAATAACTAGTGATGATGGTCAAAATGTGGCTGTTGAAAGCCAACATGGGTTAGAAATATCTGCATGGTTATCTCAGTAGAAAGAAGCTAATGATTATTGTTTTTTTGTGATGTTGTCCTGGGGAGAAAGGAAATGGGCTGCCATTCAGACAGAGTCAAAATAGCCTGGCATCGTCCATGTTTATTTATATTATGGCAACCACCCAAGTGACCACCCAAGATGGAGTCAGCATTTGAAAGGAAGTGTGGTCCATGGATTAATTTTCCCTCTGTCTACCCAAGTCTTTTTCATATTGTTAATATAATACTTTGCATGCCGTATTATAGTTTATTACAAAAGCAGCAGACGGCACAGCAGCTTGTGAGCTCTTTGTTGTAACTGGATCGTGTTTACATCTCTGCCTAGAGCAGTCACCGGCATGTTCCAAAGGCACGCTAAATGTTGAATGGATGAAGAAATGGTGTTAGAGAGCAATATTGCAACTCACTCAAGGTCAAGCAAAACAGAAACCAAGATCCTTGCCAACCCAGCTTCTAGGGTGGGCTAGGGTCTCCAGGCAGTTCGCCAGCTGAAGCAGCCAGTGGCCCAGGATTATCCCAGCTGGGAAAGTTCCCCACACTGGCTGTCACTAAGGGCTGTGATTGGACGGATGCCACAGGCCCTCCCTACCAGGCCGACATGTATGGAGCTGCAAGAAAGAGGAGAGTGGGGAGGCCCCAGGACGTGGGAAAGGAGGACAGAAAGTAGGAAGGCACTTTGGGATTGAGAAATATATGGAAAGTGGATCTAAAATGGAAGGAAGAAGTCAAAAACAAAGTCATAGTCACGAGTTTCTGTGAACAGTTCTGGGAGGAGAAGATGGAAAGATTGACTGCTTTCTAAAGGGGAATCAAAGGTGAGCACCTCTGCTCCAGCCAGACGTCCTCCGGAGCCTACAGAACTGAAGGATTGGATGAGGCAGGTGGGAGAGGGGTAGGGGCAGGGCTCTGGGGTGGAAGGCCACCCTGCTCCCTTTCAACCTTGCTTCAGTCGACTCTGGGCCCAGCATGAGCTCTGGCGACCAAGGACCACGGCTGTTCCAGCTGAAGGGAACAGAAGCTATGACAGGACTGCCTTATTTGCCATCCCTCCCATCACAGTAGTACTCACACATTCCTGAATTTCCCTGCTGAAGCACAGGTCTATAGAAAATTCCAGATGTCTGTATAGACACTCTTTCTTCTCTTGAAATCAATCACTGAACTGAACCTCCTTCTTTCACCCTACTTCTAGAACTCTCTCCTATCTTCCCTGCTTTCAGAATCGTCCTTGTTGCTCTCTGCTGAACCCTCCCCAAACTCTCTATTGCCATCTTGAGTTGAGGGGCTGATGAGGGGACCCACTTCTCCAGCAAAGTCCCGAGCCGCAGAGACTGTCGTTATTTCCTGGCAGAGACGATGAGAAGTTGAATCGCTGGACAAGGACACAGGGTAGGTGAGGCCAAGCCAAGCCAGGCTTGCTGACACTTTGTGCGCTCTTCGCTCAAGCTTCCCTTATCTGCCATTCAGCCCCAACAGTCCTGCTCTGAGTGCCAAACAGAGACTAGACTTTCACAATAAAAGACAGACACAGTTCCAACCCAAGCACGAAAGTATTGAATTATAGAGCCCCTTTGGGTGAAGCAGAACAAGAAACACCCCATATTCACGGGGCGTAGAGGAAGAGGGCAGGCTCTAGGGATAAGCAGAATGAGAGGAACCCAACACCCTGGCCAAGTCACCCAGATGCACACCATTTAGAAACCTGTCTAGACACGGGTATGGTATTGATGCGAGACAAAGAGGCTCTGCACGAGGGCCACCAGCAGCAGTGGAAGGGAAAGGAGGGGAGGAATTCAAACGACAGAAAATCAACAGAACTGAGTGACCAAGCACAAGCTGGAGGATTTTTGTGAATGGTAGGTCACCCTAGTGAGCAGTCGGCCAATACTGTATAGATCATGAAGGAAGGGGAATCAGTTAAGGACAAGTGATTCCTTTCTCAGCCCTGGGGCTTGGCTGTGCATTAAACACAAAGGGGCAAATCTAAAAACAGGTGTCCTTCTGACTTTTCCAAGTAGCTAAATGGGCTTGTAGTAGAAAAGTTGCAGGTGCAAAGGCGGAAATCTTATGTATTTATTTTTTCAGGAAGACATCCTGGTGACTGTCTTTAAGAGGAAGCAGGCTCCACCCAATGTCAAAAAAAAGTCCTCACAGAAGGGAAGGAGTAAGTCCGATGAGAAATGTTAAAGGAATTAGGGGCCTTCCTGAGCAGGGTGGCACAAGGAACATCCCCCTTTGTAAGCGTGCTTCCTTCCATGAGTAATTTAGATTTGCCCGAAAGCTTCTGGATTGGTGACTTCTCAGTAAATCCCATTGGACTGATCAAAATATGAGTGATACCTGTATTTGCATCTATATCAAAAGTGAAATAGTTCATTTATAATGGGAAGCGGGTTTGTTTGTTTTTTTTTGCTTTTAAAAAAATAAAAAAGCCTTGAGATGTTTATAAATGTGTATTCGTGTAGAATATCGGATCCATCTGTTTATTCTATGACTACTATCTCTCCCAGAAACTGACTCTGAGCCAAGGATCCATACGATTACTAAGGAGGTGCTCCGAGGGGAAACCAGGAGGGGAGTGGAGACACAGGAGGAGGAAGAAGCAAGCAAGAGCACCACTTCAGGGAAAGTTCCAGATCCAGCCTGATTCCATGGACAGCTCTGGAGTATAAAGTGCACCTCA